TATGGGTAAATGTCACAAAGTGGACTAGTCCCAGAATCTATCAAGTGCACTCTGAAGAATCTGGAAATCACCCGGGTCACTGACCGTACCCTAGAACATGAGAGAGGACACCACCAGTTTCGCAGGCAAGTCATTAACATACAAGGTGAACAACAATAGACCAAGGACGGACCCCTGCGGAACACCACTTAGAACCAACTGTCGAGAGGAGAAGCACGATCCCACCCGAACGCATACACCCTTACCTTCAAAAAATGTCATGATCCACTGTGGCGCTTATCCGGAGATACCATTTGACCGCAGCTTACACAACAGGAGGGGATGTGAGATCGTTTGGAAAACTTTGGCAAAGTCAATGAAAAGCACATCCGCTGCCTTGCGCTGATCCAACGCGCCGGCCCAGCATATAACAAATTGGTAAGGCAAGAGTAGCTTTTATGTAAACCGTGCTGAGATGAACTGAGCAAGTCGAACGTCCTCAAGTGGGCTTCTAGGACAACTCTTACTATCTTCTCCAGTAATTTGACTAGCACACTAGTCAAACTGACCGATCTGTAGTTCTCAGGGAGGTGTTTGTCACCCATTCTTGAAAATGGGGCATACAATCGCTTCCTTCCAGTTAGAAGGTAAGGAGAAGTAGAAAACTTCTCAATCAGCCGCATGATCGGCTCAGAAAACTCAGCTGCGAGTTCAGAAAACAACTTGGGGTGAATAGCATCTGCCTCAAGCGTTTTGGTAGGATTCAGTTCCCGTAGTAGCATGAGCACGTGATTCTCTGTGACGGAAAATATCCCTCATCAGAGTCAGACGGAACTCTCGTCAAATCCATAGGCGGCAAGCAAGATTCCGTAACAAATGCCCGCGCATACTGTTCCGCAAGCAGACAAGCATTAGCATGGTCCGTTTCAGCAGCATCGCCGTCGGTACCAAACAAGAACGGAAGGAGTGATTTCAGTTTAATTCTCCTCTTGATATAGGTGAAGAAGCGTTTTGGATTTACCGAAGCCGTGTCGGTCAACTCCATCTCATAGCATAATCGAGAGGTGGAAAACTGTCTGCAGACATTCCATGCTTCTCGATAGCACCGGAAAGCGTTCCTTAAGAAGGCTGACCGATACGTCGACCAGCACTTGCTCCGCCTGTTCATCAGTTGATGTGCAGCTGAATCCAACCATGAAGGCTTTGCATTGCTAGCCTACATCACAAAAATGGAGATATGGGGGACAGGCACTTCAGACAGGTTGGACTTGAAATAATCCTACGCAGTCTGCATGTCATCATCGGCAGAGATGATGCAGGGCTAAGTTGCGACCTTAGCTCTGATCGCGGAGAAATCCGGTCGCCATATATTTGGACTAGGAATGTTGTCATCAGTATGGTCATGGAAGAGGGCGCACTTGAATGACAAACAGACGTGATCACGAGCTCGCAGAGACTGTTCATAAGTAAGTTCGCTTAGAAAATCTAAAGACTTAGCGAAGAGTAGATCTAGGAGAGGCGAGGCCTGACCTTCTATGAATTTAGTGGGCTGATCCACGAACTGGTGTAAGGCTACCGGCAACGTTAGGTCGAGAAGAGCAGTGGCCAGCCCCACGCTGCTGACTGACATGAAAAGGTCTGACAGTCGATCCCCGGGAGGTTAAAATATCCCGTAATTAGACACCGGTAGTCGACTGGCCACGAATGAGCCCACTGGAAGTGCTATAGGGAGCTCTATATACTAACATAATGATTAACCGCTTAGATCTACACACTACGATCAAAAGGGCTTCTGCACCCCATCAGATGAGTGAAAGATGCATATGTTGGAAATAATTAAAATAGATTTGAGAAAAGAGCTACGCCTCCACCACGACGGTCGAATACGCGGTCAGCTCGCAGTAGTGGTTGCCTAGTAAGTTTACCTCATTGTCCGTAACGTCGGATGACAACCACGTCTCGGTGAATGCAAAGACGTCAGGTCAAGAGTGGTCCACAAGAGCTCCGACCTCGCACATCTGGTTTCACAAGCTACGCACGTTACTGAGAACTACCTGAGGGTAATCGGTATAGTGTGCCACTAGCGCGGATCCTGGCAGGGTAGTGGCGGACCGCTGCCTCACTACCCGAAAACCCAGCGGCACGGCGCGCCTTAAGGTATTTGAGAGCCTCATTGCGCTTTAGTCTGTCAGCTGTACACTGACCCCAGAACGCTTGAGTTTGAAAGTAAATCGGTCATCTGAGTGGAAGGAACGACTTGCAAAAGAAGAGGATGGGGGTTCAGCTCGCCAACCACTAGGTTGCCAAGTCTTGTGAGTTTTCTAAATGTTACCTCGGGGAGCCTGAGCGGCAGTAAATTAGAAAGACATAGTCTAAAATATTGGAGATCCTCCATGTTACGCTCCGTCGGAAGTGTAGCAGTGGGCTCCGATACGTCCCTAAATACGAGGCTACATTCGGTAAATAAGTCGCAGCGACAAGGAGTAACTACTGCTAGTGTCACCCAAATAAATGGGCGCTCGTCCGCAGTAGGGTTTGAAGGTTCTGTGGACGCACAAGTCAATCACTGAGGCGGCAAAACATTGCGACTTGCAGACAAAGGAACGGACTGTGTAGCACCTGTCGGACTGACTTCAGGTGAAGAGGGTGGGATTTTTTCACCCTCTATCGCCTACTGCTGGTAGATGTAGGGGTATGCACATCTACTTCACTAAAGGCGGGGTTAAAACACAATCCGAAGGTTCTCATAAACGGAAGAAACCCCTACAGAGTAGAATTGAGTGAGCTTGCTGCATTACAAGAATCTACAGTAGTCTCGGCTGAGAAGTCGCAAAGCTAGCCACAAGTTTCTCGACTTTCCGATCTAAGGAAGTCAACAATGGTAGTAGAGGTTTTAGGTTATCGGCCCTGGAAACTAGCGATGCGAAATTGCCTGCTAGCCAAGGTCACCGGCGGATTCTGCCCCTACAGTCACAGCAGCTATAAAGCACACTTTTATGCGATGCCACAAGCGTGCACTGCTCTGAAAGTAAACCATTACATGGCTCATGGAGCCATCTATGACAAATAGTGCGCTGCATTCTGTCTGATGAGTCAGTGATAGACTCTAGGCATCCCACCTTACCGCATAACACTACCGAGTCAGATGAATCAACGGGACGGTTTCCTCTTGCTATTTCTGCAACGAGAAGACAAGGAACAAGGAAAACAAACAGATCACGAAAGGGGTAAGACAAGTGTGAATCGGTTTACAGAAATCGACTACGGGACCGACGAGAGTACGATCAGCTAATACCGTGGGAAACAAACGGGTACTGATGACAACTCACGGTCCCGATAGATAGCTATACACAAGGAAAACAATCAAAATTCCGCTTGATCATATAGGAGAACAGACCGATTTATGCACGATCCGAGCAAGAATCAGGTTTCAAAAACCTCACAAGAACTTCAAACGCTGATATACTGGGTACTTCCAAGTTCGTTTGAATCACAAGAAAACTGACAAAGTCAAATTTTCTATCTAGTGTTATTCAACACTGTTTCCACAGAAGGCTTCTGAGAAGCAACGCCCGAACAGTCGAGAATGGGGATACTGGGGCTGGAACCCGCGCAAACAGCATTACGTAGAACATGGCCCCCAAGTGGAGACAAGACAATAGCATCTGATCAGAGAACTAGACTACAGTTTGGGGTTCGATGGTTGATACCAACACACAAACCTGAGGCCAAGCAACATACTGAACGGAAAAAAGTGTCTCATCGGGAAGAAAAGAAGTAAAAATGCTGTACGCGCGAGAACCAATGTGACTAAATCGATTACATCGGTTGTTGTCTAGTGTTCGCTTGTGGATTTGACATTTGTGGGGAGACAGAGGCCATACGACGCGAGCAATGCACTGTAAGCAACGACAGTTAGACGGCCGGACGCATCTGAAACCCGTAGATCGGGTGGTCACTGAAGGCCAGTGGAGTGTCGTATACACAACACTTCAAACCAAGGGAAATCCCATTGTGATACCAATGGTATCGCAAATTCATGTACTAAGTTCCACAACTGCCATTGCCGCTGCAAAGACGGATGTTTTAATGGAACATTTTTCGCTAGTCGCAGTGAATTGTTGGTTGCTTGCAACAATACCTTACACAATGAAGTGCAGAGAGTAAGCTGAAAGAAATGGATTATTCGGAAAACTTTTCCTGTCAATGTGCTGTCTCGCGGCTCTCAAACAGCAAAGCGATGCCGCCAGCAGAATCTAATTTCACATAGGTAGAGAGTAAAAAGCTGCATTAGGAAGCCCAGTAATAGAACACACTATGAGGAAAGCGACGATATAGCCAGACAAAATGTGGAAAGATAATAGCCTGGAGAAGATCACGTTTCGCAGGAGACATGCGACAACTCTCCGATGGATTTGATGCGGTCTTCGGTGTTCAAGTACAGGGCCCATGAAGGGTCTACAGATTCCCTGGGAACAGCATTCAGAACAAGCATGTAGAAAAGAATGAAGAGTGTGCTCCTGAAATCCAGCAGCGCAGCTGTAATAGACACGAGTAACTCAGTGGCTGTGACCTCCTCCAGTGACTAGCAATGTAAAGGATTGTGAAGATCGTCGAGCCGCCAATTGCACACAGTGGTGCAGAAACCTGAAGTTTACTTCACTGCTTGCAGATGTTGGGTCATGGACCCAATTCTTCCATTGGGATGAGAGAACACACAATGCAGACAACTAGGTTATACCCCCCTAAGTAGCTTTCCAGTCCAACATTGATTTCAAACCCAATGAATAATGTGATTTTTAGCAGTATGGTACTTTTTAGCTTTTGTAGTCTGCAATGTTAAAGCTCTCCCCTTTTTTGTATTGCAGCACATTATCTCAGATGTATTTCTCACCCTCGGCTAACGAGTACTGATGATGTGATTGTATTTTGGGTAAAGTTTTCGGAGTAAATTTTGAGTAGAGGGAAGAGAACACACCGTAGAATGAGAAAAAATAACTAAGGAAGAAAGCAAGATGCGCTCAACGCATAGAAAGAGCAATCTGCCACATCCTTGGTGATCGAGGTGAATTGCATATACAGGACGTGTGTGCAAAACTGACCTCTTCAACATGTGAGAGTAGGCCAGGAAGATTCGTCAACCGTACTAAAAGTGAGATGATTCCGGCAAGCAATGCGTGCAGTGCGCACCGGTGTGGAAGTGGCAGAGTGGGTGGCTCGTCAGTGATTTTCTTCTGCACCGCTAAGATGAGTCGAAACAGTTCGCCAACCACCTGGAACAAGAGAACGGTAGTAAATGGGGTGTAGAGCCCAGTGGCCAGAATAGAAATAATAATAATAATACTATATAATGTGTCAGATGTACGCCGTAAAGGCGCTTCGCTGCCGCGCGACCACCACCAGTCGCGCGCGGGAAGAATATACCGCGAGGACGTCCACCCCTACGCGGATTCGAACCCGTGACCTTATAATTGCAAACTAAACGTCCAGACGACTCGGCCACTGGCCGGAACAATAGCCATATGGAATGAAAGACTTCAAGCATCATTGTTGAAAACCCTGTGCCAAAATCGCCTCAGAGCAGTTAGACCATGCAGATATGCATTGAAAATCACAATGGTGGATAGGCGGTTGGAAAAAATAAACGTTGGGAGTGAGCGAGGGATAGTTATAGTGAAACAAGCGGGATTTGTCACAATGGGACTCAGTCAGATAGCCATCGAATATTCAGAGGCGGTATGGATGATTGTTACTCATTTTTGGGGACCAATGAGAACTGCTCGTTCACTTCGAACATTGGATGGCGATGGAAGTTTTACAAGCGGAAATGTAATCCTCTCAGACCATGGTAGAGACCTGTAGCCTGAACGACAAAGTAGCCAGTTACGATATAGCAAGTTGCTATCACACAGAGTAGAGCCCCCTGAGAAACAGATCCTCAAACTTGAGACGCCAATTGTTAACCATCCTAATCACAATGGAGTGGGAGGAGAGTTGATATAACCGAAGTTAAATTCATGCTAAATATACTCCAACAGACAGCTATCAATGTGCCAACAAAGCATTGGATTACGCAACGAGCCGAGGGAATGAAAACTGCAGACGAGTCTCAAAATGACGGAAGAGCTGACCGCATACTTCAGTGACCGCTACATACCGTCGTTGCATCAAGTCTGACGAAGGTGATCAGCTGATGACATAGCACAAAGCATGAAGAATGTGACCGAAGGACTGCGTCAGTCGTCGAGCACGTGACGTCAGCTGGACTAGATAGGTTATCTGATATGGCGCGGTTCCGGACCCAGTGGTGTTCGTAAATTCCGCGTCTTCAACCGCCTTTTAACACCCCATGCCGAGGATGAGTGTAACCCAACCCTCCCTAAATTGTGTCTGTGTTCTACTTCAGTAACCTCACCGCTGTTAGTTTACCTCATTCTGATGACGGGAGTCATGGTAACTAGACTCACTGCACTGTGGCTTGAATGGAACTGAATTCCTTGGCTAATGGGAAGTGTACAATAGCAGAACGAATGATGGTCCGATCAAGCGGGTCCGGTGACAGAGCGGAAAAGGCATCTCTGCCCAGTAATCCACAGGTCGACGTTTCGACTCCAGGAGGTAGGCAAAATGGCAATAGCAATACGCCAGTACGCAGTACCGACGTTTCGATGTCGCGAAACCACCACCGGGTCGCCCTGCACCTACGCAGGCTCGAACACGTGCCGCAGGATTACGAGACAAGCTGGTTATCTTAAGGATATGGGCAGGCGACTTGGCATAGTGCTGCGAGTTACCTCGAAATACTTATAGCCCGCACGTGAGAAGGGGTGGCTGTGTGACATCGAAGGGTTGATAAAATGTGTCGGCGTGCTGCTGATGAAAGCCAGAAATAGTTAAGCAGAAAGGAACCCATTCGTCGCAGTTAGACAGACAGACAGCCACTACACTTTCAGGAAAGGGCCAGACGGTCGTTTCGTCCTACTGGGACCCATCAGTAGGGGGCACCCGCCGAATTCTGCCGGATTCAAACCCACGACCTTACTCTTGCGAGCCAGTGACTAATGCCACTGCGCCATGGGCGAAGGCAGCGGAACACCATGACTGATATCCAACTGCGATATAGCCCGGCTCATCTTCCACTGTCATGCATGTTATGAACGACAAGGCTGGCCCCCGGAGCAACGACTTCATTTGCAAGCCGCCGCCAATTGAGGTGTCACTTAATCTGCTAAAACAACTACAGAGTAGTTGTAAGTAGTAAGGGGATAGTTTGGGTTTTGGTGTAGATTAGTTATCATTACACCAAACTGTCTTAATGAGGGACACTGTGTATAGTCGATAGGACCGACAAACATAAACAAAGTATGCGTTATCGAAAATAAAAGTGAACAAGTCAACTAAAATTTGTTCTGTGTAAAGGGCGATCATTCAGTCTAAGCAACGAGACATCTGACTGAGTGTACCCATAATCGGTTTGAAGGGTCACATGTATAGGTACAGATCGGTAGAACTCGACGTGCAATTGAGAGCGTAGGAAGCAAAGGTCGCACAAAACAGTTGACGATATCCGTAGGTATGTTTGAAGCCTTCTGTCCAATTCGAATTGTGAATAGCATCATTCAGCGACCTTCGTGCCCTGGAGTTACCATGAGCCCTAAACTAAGATAAACTGGTCGAAAAGTACTGTCGGGACAAAATTTTTTTATAGAGAACAAACGGAGATCGTTGGAATCATCAGAACGGGAAGGACCGGCAATCGCGATAAAAAGACAGTATCAATGGGCACTATGCACGTTAGCGTTGGGAACGATCATATGACTCCGATCGCGAGGCTCGGAAACAAGAAGACGCAAGAAATCAGTGAGGCGCATTTATTTGACGGGCCCATCATTTATTGGCCGACTTGGGGCAACAGAAGCCCGTTGGCAAGCCGCATGTGAGGACAGGCAGTTGATTGACAAACAGTTCATAGTAGTCAACAATGCGACTTTTAAGGTTCGGCTGCTGGACGTGAATAGTGCCCACGCAGTGCTGCATATACACGGCGCAACATGGGCAGTGGAGGTCAAACGGGGCCAGTTACCTGATATACTCTAACAGAAACGGGGGCAGCACTGCCCATCAGCATATCACATCAGAGCTGGTTTAAATTCCTGGAAACAACCGCGAATCGGATGCGGAAACGCGGTGCATCGAGATGCGCATGGAACTGTGCATGACCGTCAGTGGAGAGCACTACGAGAAAATGTAATGCTTAGGTAGTTGTAAAACTTTTACGCATTCGGGAAAATTATTGCTCTACCCTCCTATGGTGCAACCGTACTCTCGATTCGGGGTTTCAGATGATAAATAGGTGAGGGAAGGAAGAGAACACAAATTAGACTCACTTGTTCGGCGCCCATTTCCAAAGCGACCAAACCGACGGTGCAGAATAGGTGCTCTAAGCAGTCCACCTTGTTCGTCGGATCGAGCAGTTGATGATAAATGTTCTCAGTCAATAGAACACCCGTCTGTTGACAGATGAGAGAATGGGATAGAAGGTGAAAAAGTCGCGAGAACAGCAAGCAAGAACACTGGGTGCACGACGCATCGGTATGCAGTGTGTAGAGATTAAAAGTGCGGACAGTCCAAACAAACAAAGACATCAACGAATGCGAGGTAAAATCGATCACAAAAACACAGATGATCTCGTAGGAATCAGACTGCGTGAAGTGTGTGTGAAAAATAGTCATGCTTACGAGCGAAATAAAAAAAACATGGGTGTAGGTGGTCGGATGGGTGAAGTGGATATACGGAACCAGTCAACGCCTCCAGCGTGAATATGTTCTAAAGTCCAAGTGTGATGAAAAATTGGCACACGCGGCGGCGGCGCACATAATAGTAAACGACGAATGGGTCGATCAAATGTATCGTTCAAGTAAACAACTGCATGCGCACCTTAATTGGTTTCCATAGTGACAAAACAAGCGTGTATCCACTGCATTCCACGAAAAAATGGATGCAGTTAACCGAGGATCGGAAAGCTCGTCAACGTACCAGGTGCCTGGTTCGAGTTAATTCCGATCTATGAATGTCTGAAGGTGGTGGGTTTTCAGCTGACAGGTGTTCCTCGTGTAAAAAATCCCAAAGTATGTGTAACAGTAATACGACGTGGCGGATGTGATGCGACATTAAAGTTACTGTCTTTTGCAATGCACCAATGGAGCACGATAGTTCAGCAAATCTATGCTGATATTGCGTGGAGGGTTAGTTCCATGTTTGGTAACTAATCAAACCACAGGCTGGCTTGCCGAACAACCTCCTCGTGGTGCCAGCTGGGTGGTTCGGGATTTTCCCGTTCCAGCAAATGGTTCGGCGGCAGTGTTCCAGGACGTGGTGGGTTTTCGCCTGGCAAGCGTTCTCCCTATAAAAAGCCACATATGTCCGTTTAACAACACTGTGACGTGGCGGATGTGACTCGCCACTAAATAAAGTCACTGCCCCTTGCTTCATTCTGGCGAAGCATTGTATTCCAGCAACCTTATGCTGTACTTCTGGGGAGCGTTGGGCCCCTGTTTGACAAAGGAACAAACGAAAGGCGTATGAACTGAGAAATCAGTCACCGGCTCCCAATGGGCGCGATTCCCTGAATTCGCTCCGCTGCCTTGCGGGCAGGCTATTCAGCCAAAGGCTCGGGGTGGTGTCCCCTAAGTCAACACCCTACTTCGGCTTGGGCAACCGGGTAGTATCTCGCCCTCTGAGGAAACCATGGACATTGTTGTGTTGTGTTTTATTTTACTGTTTCTGTACCTTCGTTTGAATCCCATGGTTTCTGATGGCATTATGTCTGTTAGCAGACTTTTGCAAATATATATATATATATATATATATATATATATATATAATCAAACCACAAGTAGACGATTGTGGAAGTTAGTCACTGACTCCCAATGGATGCGATTCCTCGACTTCATCCCACCATAAGGTAGATTAATACCAGTTTCGGTTGGATAACCGGGTGTTATTAGGTCGTCTGACGGAACTATGAGCTGGTCCATATTGTCCTCAGTTGCTCGTGCTTCTCACATGCCCATGTCAGCTATCTTTTGTTTGTCAATAATTCCTGTTGTCAGCCACCTTAATCCTGTCTCAATAGGTCTACTTCAGAGACAGAGATTATGTGGATAGCCAGTGACCATCCCTGTCCCGATCCTTGTCACAAATGGCATACTTAGAAGTACGGACAGTCAGGTAGATTGAACAATACGTTGGTTCGGTGGGTAAATTACAGTTCCTCCTTATCGACGTTTGCCGTTTTCCATAATCCAATTGCAAGATGCTTAGATCAACATACTTAAACGACCACGATGCCATATATCACATGCGCTTATCTGGTGATTCAGTAGCAGCCGCAATGAGTTTGCCTAGTGTGGGTGTGGCGAGGCCGCAGTGCTGAATTGGTTCTCAAGTAGCATACGACTGTATACAGTTTGGTTTGATGGCTCACGCAGAATCAACAAGCGCTGCAAGGAGGGACGCAATATTTATGTGGTCAACATGCAACCGCGACTGCGTCAAGTACGACATCTGATGCGATAATAGCCGAACAAACTCCTCGTGGTGCCAGCTGGGGGTATGTATATATAAAGCCATCAGAAACGATGGGATTCAAAAGAAGGTACAGAAATAGTAAAAGAAAACATAACATAGCAATGTCCATGGTTTCAGCTTGGGCAACCGGGTAGTATCTCGCCTTCTGACGAAACCATGGTGCCAGCTGGGTGGTTCGGGTTTCCTTCATTCCAGCAAATTGTTTGGAGGTATTGTTCCAGGACGTGGTGGGTTTCCGCCTGGCAAGCGTTCTCCCTATAAAAAACCACAAATGTGACGTGGCAGTTGTGATTCGCCAGCAACTAAAGTCACCGCATTGCTTATCGGGACAATTGCTTCAGGTCCACAAACATCAAGCATCCCTCTAGCATTGGGGACACGATGAAAAGTGCAGGAAAGCATTTACGAATCCCATAAACACGGCTACACGCGCCTACATACATACATTCATAGATCAACACAAGTGACAACCCTATGGTTCCATTGTACATTAATTGAGCACATTTTTGTACTCTTACCATGATCATGACTGTGCAGGCGTGTCTCGAGTAGTCGAGAATAAACATCTTAATTATTTAGTTATCATCACTATACACGTTAGCCAGAGGTGTAAAATTCCGCAACTATTGTGCCGTAAAAGATGAGAGGAAAAAAGAAGAGAAACATGCAACAAGGACACGCGCCAGCTGAGCCAGTGACAACGGATGCACTTCGTTCAGGAGAGCTAGCAGCCGGTTGTTGTGCTGTAAAAAAGGAATTATATGATGCCTGAGAAATGAGATCGTGGTTAGAGGATGAAGTGAAACGAGATGGGGAAAAATACTCACAACACAAACGCCACTGAAGTGGGCTCCTAACCATGCAAATCATCGCGTTTTGAGCCCTAACAAGAGAGTCGAGAGGCTGCAACTGCGGTCAGCTTCGAACAAAGAGCCTTCAGTCCTCTTGACGAAATCACCGCTTGGCGTCACTTCCCATTTTCCAAACCACACTATCCAGCGCGAAAACAACGTACGTCGCGGGAGTCGGTGTGTTGGCATGCGCATGAACCAGCCATCGGAGTATGGCACGTGGAATAACAGTGGGAAGCGGTTCACTTCCTTTTCCTGTGCCATAAAAGAGGAGAACCTCATGCACTCTTGACCCCGATTAACAAATTCGATATTGTTGTTTTCGCTCCATTCCCATTTCTTGGACTGTTGCTAAAGGGAACACGTGAGGAGATCCGAAAAACGGTGGACAATGTAGGTGCTAGTTCTAGGTAGTTAGGATCGAAAAAGCTATGGTGTGCGGATGAATTTCGCTTCAGCATACTGAAGTTTACTGTCAATGTATGTACGTACTGGCTGAAGAACCGAACAAGTTCGTCGTAGGTTGATTGCGAACAGATCTAAAGGTGTCTCGTCGGAGTGAACGCGAACCCGAATCGTCTCCGTTGGCTTGAGAATGCGTTCCGCGCACACAATACACTATATATTCTGCTACACACTGCATGCGTTGCTTCGCAATAAAGAGGCTGGCCAGAGAAAATCTCGAAACATTCAACGAGGAGGATGACAACAAACAAAAGGAAAGGCAGAGAAAGTTTAGCCGGTTTGTCGTATTTATGTACGGAGTCCCCGTGATGCGCCATATCAGCTGCTAAGCACTAGCAGCACGCCGTACCAATGCTTCGCTGCCACGCAACGACGACTGCGAGAGTCGATCGGTCCCCTAGGCAGGATCGGATCTGCCACTCTCGGGTTGCAAGGCAGAAGCCTTGTCCTTTCGATTATGATTATGAACAGCCAGATACCCGGTCGCATACAGTGCAGGCACGGCATCAGCAGCAGGAGTACGCCGGTGCATCGCACAGACGCTTCACTGCCACGCAAGCACCACTAGCACAATTATTAAACTCTACCAGTTCAGTTAAAAAAATATGATCCGAGCACCGAAATGCGGTGGATCCAGTTGCCACGACTCACACCGTAAGAATAACAGTAACTGGGGTAGGACAGTGGGTTTGGGTGTGAATAGAATGTAGAGAAAATAGAAGCAAGAAGGACGTGCGTTAAACTAATCAGAATGGAACAAAAATTAATAAGCGGATGAAAGAAACCGAATGTAGAAAAGCCAATGACTTCGTGACTGCATCATGTCTGACCAGGTCACAAACCATCGGTGTGAACCGTCCCTAGGCCCACATCCAGGAAGACGGCACGCACCAGCTTGATCAAGTCTCTCAGTCAATTTCTTCATGCCTCGATGCCATGTCGTGGACTGGTACCTTTGCAGTTTCACCCAAGTTGATGCAGCCACGGCGTATAATCACTGGGCCATGGTATGGTATATTGGATTTGTAATGGACATTATTGGACGCAGAGGATCATCATCTTTATTAAGTTTTGGGAGCCTATACCTTCGTGCGGTTAGATGTTCCGACTGGTGAAAAACTCGATTTTATTGATTCATCATCAGCTTAACAGACCAGGAATAACAAACGTAGACAGCATGGTCTGAGTGACCAAGTTACATGACTGTTCCCAAAGCGATCAAACGTGAGTATGTGTTCACACCATGTGTCAGCGTTATCAGGGACCAAGGGAGACTGAATGCCTGGACAAATTTCGTATACACACGTAGATCAGAGTCACGAAGCCGAATGGCAATCACTTAGACAGATATCCGCAGATGACATCTAATCGCTTCTGACATTTGAGTACGTGGTACGTAAGATGAAACGCCTCATGCGCATTGACCTGGTAGATCGAAGTAAGCAAGAGCGCGGACACTTCGTTTGCTATTGGTCTAGTCCCAACGTTATACAGCCAAGTTGGGCAATATTCGAGGGCTTTCTCTGACAGTCCCTCGGGGGTTCTTTCTGCACACTATTGGTAATAACAAGAGGAACAGTATACACGATATGAAGTATCTGACCTTGGAATCCCGTAATTAAGCCGCTAATTCAGAGTTGGCACAGAAGTGAGGCATAGCCTTAAGCTTGCCGCGCGGTAGATTTGGCCAATGATCTTGAACAGTAGAGACAGATAGGCCGGTTTCTTTCCCAACGAAACCAGTTTTGCCTTCGTTTCTCGAGGCTCCATATTTCTCCGAACAAAGTTCTCCGAATAGCCATTTCTCTTGAACAGGCTTCGTATAAAGTTTAACCATTCGGGGATCGCGTCCGCACTACAAATCTTTCTTGCTCTCAGTAAGGCATCGGACAAGTTTTCGCTTTTGGCTACATGGAACGAAGCTGACAAAATGAGTGTATACCCCGCTTCATGTTGCTTTTCTATGGACACTGCGATTGACCGACTCGTCATATAATCGGCTCACCGGGATGTCCAAGAATGACAGTGAGTTGCTGCACTCAGATTCCGGAGAGTTGTTGTGTGCTGAGCTTAAATGCGCCCCCTGTTCTTCCGTGTATAGGTTGCTAACTACGATGCAGAACATGCCGCCCACGTACTTGTCTGTAGAAGAATATGTTGCTGAAAGCCCCGCTATTGTAGTGATCTTCCAAATTAGTCATAAAAGCATCAGAGCTAGTAGCGGTTATAGAGGTGAACGCCTTGCGACTCCGTCCTTCTGCCAAATGATTTTCACTTTGAATTGGAATTGTATATTCCTCGGAATTCTGAGAAAGACTACCCACCGTCAATGACCACATATTTTCCAGGCCCAAGGTATCGTGAGTTATACATCTCTTACGCTATCATGTGGGACTTGAAAAACGATCGAGGTATGGACAGATTACAGATATGTTATTTTATGCAGTTGTACAGATTTAAATTTTTTGCCTGCTTCGTTATAACAGTGCACAGTACTAACGAAATGGCGCTCGAAAAGGTTTCTACAAAAAAGGTGCTGCGTTTGAAAAAATACGGATTTTGTTTGCTATCCAAAGTTTGTTTTGACTCACAGAGTGATACCCGATGTGGATTTTGAGTTGTTCTCCGAGCTGAGTGATTAGTTTGCAGACGTTTCGTTGCCAGACTAGGGAAGAACATCAGTGCAGTTTCAGGGGCCCGGTTCGCAGCGACTCGTAAGCGACTTTGAGGTCCAAGTGCTTATTGATCGAGTTCTGCTTTGAATTCTATGCTTCAATGAACTCACGTGCTTGCCGGCTTCTGGTCGTTCCGAGGATGTTGGTGTGCTCCAGGTCGAACTGGTGGTTATCGGCATCCATATGCACGAACATCAGGGAGTTCTGATCGTGGCGACGAATGGCTAGACTGTGTTCGTGTAGGCTTGTGCCAAGATTTCTTCCAGTCTGTCCCACGTAGTGTCAGTCACAGTTCTGGCAGCATATTTTAGGAAGCACACCAGTGGTTCTTGCTAAGTTTAGCTTTCACTTGGAAAAGTTTCCTATGTATTGTCGCTGTTTGTTGGCATGCAACTTTGATTCAAAAAGGGAATAAAAGTCTCACTGCCATTTCGAAGGTTCCGTTGAAATAACGCAAAGTGGCTATCTGTTCAACTGCTGTATTTGTTGAGGTGTGTTGTGGTGCTAGGCATGGTAGAATGAAGCCATTTGGGTCGAAGTTCCGCTTGAGCAGACTGAATAGACAGTCTTACTCCGCCCGTCTCAGCTGCGGTGTGCCACAGTGCGATTGTGCTCCTTTGAAAAGGGTTCGCATGCAGCTGCGTTTGTGGGCTGCCGGATCAGTGCTGCCAAAGTTGGGGATCAGGTGTATGTGTGTTGGTTTCCCATAAACCATAATTTCCAGTCGTCGTCTAATAATGGCAACTGTTCGTTGTTCTCCTCCTCCCTGGTGAATTGGATGCTATAAAACATACTGTTGGCTAGTTCATGTGTGTCCTCCAATTGCGAACGCTTGAGGATGATGAGGGTGTCGTTTATGTACCGTATCCAAAGTTTCCGTCTCGCTGTCGCTATTTGTTCCAGTGCCTGCATCAGTCCAGGCTACCAAACCAGAGGTCGGCGATCCCATTGGTCTGCCTCATATCTGTGCGTAGATTTGTCCATTGAAAGTGAAAGGTGTTGTTAGACAGAATTACAGCAACTCTACCATCTGTCTGGCGTCGAGCTTCCTGCATGTATTAGACGATGTGTGTTCTTCCAGCAGGCGCGTCACTGTTTGTTGCGCTAAATTGATGTCGACTGGTGCGAACAAGACGGTGACATCAAAATAGACAATTACTCCGTTCTATAGTTGTGATTTTAACTTTCTCAAGGAACTGCTCTGTCGAGTTGATCGAGTGTTGTGATGCTGCGATTAGGTGTTTTAGCCGAGTCCAGAAGCCTGTCATTTGGAGCTGGAGTAAACTTGACGCGATACCGATGGTATAGCTGCTGGGATTCTGTCTAACAACAAACTTCAGTTAAAATGGACAAATCTACGAACAGATATGAGGCAGACCAATGGGATCGACGATCGCTGGTCTGATAGCTATCCTAGTTTGTGGGTTAAGAGAGAACCATAGGGTAGGATGACGGATAAGAGTTGATTTGCCGACATAAATGTAAGCAAGGTCGAAAAATGGACTTGAAACAAGTAATCGCACCAAATCCGTACGCGGAGCGGGAACCGATGTGGAATGGGTCATGTAAAAGGACGCAGCTTGCCTTTTTCATGAACAATATATCCTGTCGAGAAGGCTCTTCCCACACGAAGTAGCCTTCAAGTGGAAGATCCAAGTAAGTTCTGGGAATGGAAAAGAAACGCAGAGAAACCTAAGGTGGAAATCGACCCCATTTCAACAAGAGCAATAAACCAAACAAGACTGGGTAATGTTTAATCAAAAACGACCTGTGACTAGGCGAACGAGGCCACTACACATAGCACACACGTAAGACAAGTGTGCACGAGAGTGTGAAAACAACCAAAAATGCATCTGGTTAAAAAAGAGTAAAATCAGTACATTCACATGAAACAACTGTGGGCACTAATTACCGTCGGGGTGAGAACAAATGTTGCAAATCAATGGCGTACGTGTTAAACGTGGCACAATGAGTTTTGGACTTTTGTACCTACCATACAAAAGATCAGATGTTGTGGCGGCATGAGTCGAAAGACCGTACTCGAACTCTGAGAACATGGTTGGGCAGAAAAAGGTGGTAACGATGGGGGCTACACTCACAAGAGATCCACTTGAAAATGACAAAACTCAAAAGAGGCGAAAGAAGAAATCGTTCAGTGAAATGTGACATCAAAATTCGCTCAGTTGTACCAAGAAACGTGAGGCAAGTAGGTCAGAAATGATAACATAACCAAACCATTATGCAGGACTTACGAAGGAAGGCAAGCAAAAAACTCCAACAGATTCCTATGCACCGACAGAAAGCAGATGTCATTTCGCAGAACAGATAGAGTGAAGTTTCCTAATGAACTATAAGCAGTGGGACACCCACAAGCCGTTTGGATAGCATTAGGCCACAACAAGCTGATGTTGGATGTTGGCTGCCCGAAAATACTGCACTCATCAGCACTTACCGTCATGACCCGGCAACCAAAGGGGTAGCGGTCACAGCTAACATCCCTATGGTCCCGAGTTCGATGCCTGCTAACTCGCTATCTGATGAGATGTAACCACATCGAAACGAGTCATAGAAGTGAAGTGTTTTCGGGCAGGCAACACCCAATTTCCGTCTGCTTCAACTACGGTCCTGCTGATCGAATGACCACGGTTCACTTCAAGGAGAATCGCGGTCAACAGTGAGATTGCGTGTCGCAATCCATCCACACAACGTGCACTTCAAAATGATCCTCCAAGCATAACAAATTTTGTTGCAAACGTCGCAAATCTAGAGACGGATTAGCCGGAGGATTAGAATTTGCAATCGAGCTAACTGCTACTACTACCCACCGAAGATGGCAACTCGGTTGGTGGTGGTGAAACGACTGCCATAACATTTCCCAGCTCGGAGGACCGATCAACGTCCAAACGCCAGCGGACCAGACCTACAAGTGACCTGATCCATAGCAATCATCAAACCACTACGATGCATATGGGGGAAGCTGATTACTTCCAAGACACTGATGACAAGGTGCAGCAGACAGACTATGTATTGGAGACTTTATATTATGCCAAGTTGAAAGATTCCACTGAAGTATAGAGTCAAAGAGGCCGACATATAGCGCTGCAAGCTTCAGCACATGCCTCGCACAAATGAAGTGCAAACCTGAGTCAGTGCACACACAACCGATCATATGGATCGTGTATGAAAATATTCCATCTGCAGCTTCAGCACATTCCTCGCTTAATGGCCACCTGAAGTCGAGTAGTCAACCAGTGTTAGTGCGTGGTGCCTAACCGATGGATCACAACGCGCAGCCAAAGCATTGGGTGTAATATCGCTGTAGTTGTCTCTCTGGTTGTACTGAGGTTTTCAGACAAGAAGTTCAACGTTTGATGTGAGCCGGGACGCTCAACAATAGTATCGTGTCAGCAATAGGAACACTTGAACTTGACAAATTTGCCCATTCAAACGTCAGAAGGATGGTTGCGAAGAAACATCCTTTTGATAAATACCATTAGACAGGTACAGTTTTGAATTACAAACTCATTAGAAAAGAAGCGATTTCTAGCGCAGCAAGCACTTGATGGATGTCTTAAATTGGGAGAGATGAGGGGATTAGGGATTTGTCAGCTGTAACAACCAATATCAATTCAAAACCAACGCCATAGACCAATATGCTTAGTTAGCTGAAAAACCTATAGCCATGGCAAGATGACGCCCCGGACTAACATCCCTGTTTGCACAGTTCAAGATGCAGCAGTTTGGTAGAAACAGATTCAGATGTGACCAACAGGCACTTTCTTAGTCCTACTAGATTGTGTTCCGGCATGAGATTAACTATTATAAAAAGATGTTTCGTCTGTAGCTGGTGTCCACTTGGTACGGCCAACGACATGGTTGGCGACATCCGGTTTTGTATTTGCCTGTCACTGTGGCCAACCACAGGACGCCTGCGCCTACAGAGGGACCATGGGTGGCTTGCGCTGCACCACCCACAGCTCCAACCACACACCCCATATCCAGAGTAAACCCGAAGGAATAAGACCGGGAGGCATGCGGATGGGAGACACGTTTCATCAACGGAGCCGGCCCACACTCCTTCACAGGCAAACACAATCATGCTGTATTTGGGAATCAAGCGTACACAAAGCGGTGGCTGGACGGTAGTCCACTATACACTGAGTGCATGGTACTGCTCTTCGAGCCTAGCACGGCCACAAGGACCGTGCACCCCGTCCCCTCCAGTAACAATAAACTGTCTCCTGAATCCAGTATGGAAGAGATAGTGGGTAATAGACGGGTAGGCACCTTGTCCACATGCACATCAAGCGCAGCCACACCGGGGATATCAAGCAACAGCCAATCACTTGAAATGCCGATATCAAATATAAGATATCGAATAAAGTGAAAGTATATGACGACATAAATACTCAATAAATGAGCACATGGGTTGAATTGGTCATAAGCAAATCCGCGATAAGTACAAAATGTCCGAAATTTATGTAAACAATACCACGTGAGAAAGTTACGCAAGTTTACCGCAATTAGCATGAGCGACGTGTTCAAGTTAGATTATCAGGTACGCAGAACAAACCAAATAAAGTGGAATGAATTTTTTCCACATTAAAAAGGCCTAGTTTAAGTGTAAGTTGCTTTAGCCCAACTGCGGTGAAGAAGCATCATGGATGCTACATCAGCCTCAGCACGGCGAACGACATGTCTGGGTTCAATACACGCATAGTCGCCAAGTGCCTTGTGGACCTATTCAAACTAACACGCAAAGAATTATCTAGCCAGTTTGCATTTGCATTCACCAGGAAGGTAAAAGAAATAAATGCAATCAGTACTCTGTGTCGACTGCACATAATGCAACAGGTTGGTTGGGAAGTTGTTGCCCAGAGAGGGGGTACTACTCTGCCCTCAGCACGGCAGAAACGTGCAAGTCACTGGATGAGCCGCACAATATCACATCTAACACTTCTGCCATGTTAGTCGCTGATATCCCCGCTGACTCAAAAGTAAACGAACGCGGGTTCGAGCTCCACTCAACAGACGGATTGTGCGCTGCTAAAGACTCCCGACGGAACGAAACGACGGTCCAGTGCTCTTACGGAGGAACGAGGATTACCACATGGGGCCCAGTGACTATGTGAATTCCAACACAGCCAGAAATTCGAAGACAATAAGGACGATGTCACAAGAAAGGTAAAAGACGCCAAGCCGAAAAAAGCAGTGATGCTGGAAGCAAAATGATACGGAGCATTCCGATCAGAAAAATTGGGGAAAGTCGAAGGTAGCCAACAAAAGCGGCAAAACTCACCGAACATGCAGTAACCGTTCTGTGTTCCCGTGGCGATCAATTAAAGTGTGCAGTATTTTTTGTACAATAATGCGAATCGCCGGATCCGGGTCAATCGCAACACCACGAAGTAAAATGTTGAGGAAGTCGGAGTTGAGAGCGTTCGAGATGGCCACCGTTTTGTACTGCGTGGCGACGGTGAGCATGGTTTGAAGCAAGACCATGATCAGTGGCCGGGGACGTGTGCCGAATTGCGGATGATGCCTTTGTAAGCAAATAAAGTGGTAAAGCGTATGTATATGTTTGTGAGGTACATAAGATTAGATACTGACACAAGTGCATCACAGCTTCTCGGGAAGCTGTGTCTAGAAGAGGAGATCGTGCCTTAGAGACATCCACAAATTCGCACATGAAAGAACAATTCACGTTCTCGCAGGCTATCCCTTGTGAATACAATCGCGAAATTTCGAGACAGAAAACATCATTTGAATCAGTGAACATGCAATACGAGCAGTGTGGATTCAATAACAGTTGGTGAATGCGATCTTTCGAAATCGATGTTTTGTTAGTCGTATTCAATCCTCGAATACCGATAGACTGAACATGCTTCGGTGCTCAGTCGAAGGCATGGTTAAACTATGCAAAAATACAGGACTAGTAGAATATTTTCATGACGCAATCAGATTACGATAGAAGTTAGTAAGTTAACCTATGGTGAACCCAGATCTAAATCGTTCGCTTCAAGAGAACTGCTGCACCAACGCAGTGGAGAATCCTCAGTCGAAAGTGATTTCCAGTGGGAAGATATGATTTCACATGTACAACTGAATATAAATGATTCATATGCATGGCTGTGATGCCAAGAGTTAAAATATTTTCCGAGGAAGGAATCAAAGTTCGATGGAGAATAAGGATACTTTGTGGAAACGGCGGAAATACAGAGAGAGGACAGTGACGCATAGCATTGTTAGTGGGTGAACACCTCAACTTTAGTTCAGTAGAAATGGGGACCAGAGGAGAAACTGAAAAGACCAAAGGCAGCAGTCATCTGTCCAACCTACTAAGGCAACGGTATTTTTATGGACACACGGTAGGATTTCGTCGTAAACAACACACGGTAAAGACAGAAGAGTAATGAGTGTTAAGAGTGTGGATGCACCGTGTTTCCTTCCACATATCAGCATGTAGTATACAAAATGCATAGTATAATACGTAACATTATATTACTTGCTTTGGAACATTTGTATACCGTAATTTTCTAGTATTTTATATTTTTGTATTGTGGTAAAGTAGCTGTGTGTTTCTCCCCCTCAGCTAATGAGTATTGTGTGTGCGTTTGGTTGTGTTTGTGTGTGTGTGAGTATCAGCATGCACTGAGTTTGAGCAAAAAGTAAGAAGAAAGAGAATAAAGTAGCAGAGAAGGGAAGGGCCAACAAAGGCGACAGTCCTTAGGTGTGAGTATAACCTAAGGGAGATGTGGTACCGCTAATTTTACTGTTACCATTGCTCTGTCGCTCCCATTGTCGGTCATCCAATCGGAGCAAAGTAAACGTGAAAAAGACACTTGTGGTCAAGGAATTCAGTCGATAGTGACGTAAATGACATCAAAGAACGCATTCAAATGGTCGTCGCTGACCAGCGCCAATCTCCACAGGAACCGAAGACCCATCTCATCATAAGAATGAGCATAAATCATTGCAAAGTTAAAGAGATGTTTGCAAAAGCCATGTAACTGTTGAACAGCCAATCACTGTTTCATGGCGCATAATGCTTCGCAATCTGAAACTCGAACCATAGGGAGACTAATGTAAAGGTCAAGTCACAAAACAATCTTAGAAGAATCGCAATTCAACCTAACCACAGCAGTTCCAACGGTATTACATTGCAACACTGGTGGTAGTTCATAATGAGATGCAGATTTAGAAATCGCTCAAAAAGATTCCATGGATATGTTCTAGTGCATTAGTACCTACTTTACATAAATTCTGGATGCAACTGAGCAGTACTCAAGTTGAGGTCTGAATGATGGAGGTTAGATAGAGTAGCTGCTTAGCAGGTATGTGTGGACAGCATACACTGCGAGACGTCGGTGAGGGGATGTGGGCGCCTGCAGTACACTGTTTTGTAGATGTTCGTAATCCATTGATTGTCACTGAGTAGCCTCAGATGACTACAACATACACAAAGTTCACTTAATCAGGACAAAGTCAAGCCTTGAGAAATCGATTCGCTTCACCTTAATGTCAACGACATGTGAAAAGTGCGCGCTTAAGGGGTGGTGTACAAAATACGTGAAAGTCAGCCAAAGTGACGGATATAAACGATCCGTGTGGTGAAAAGACGCAGTTGGTAGACAGAGTGCCAAAGTGGTCGAACCAAATTGACGTTGGAGAAATAACGCTGGTTAATCAAGTCGGTCGGACTGAGCAGTAAGCCCAAAGTATTCAGAAAAACGAAGCTTAAGCCAGTGTCGTGGTCGGAATTCTGCAACACTACACCATTTCCCGGCCAAGTTGTCCTCTTGGGCAACAGAAATAATCTGTGGGGCATTCAACATGAGTCTACTCAATTAATTTGTTCCGTGCATAGTAGCTGAAGCGTCCCACCTGCACCCCTATGACTTAGTGCGTCTGAGGTCCAATTGGCTGAAGGCGATGTGCTATACACGCACACCTACACACCTGCACAAGTGACTGGCGTACGCACGGAACAAAGTAATTGAGTAGACTCATGTTGAATGCCTCCTCAGATTATTTCTGTTGCCCAAGAGGACAACTTGGCCGGGAAATGGTATAGAGACCGCAGCCATCATGGCCTTGTTTTGATTGCCGAATGTACGGTGGTGCAAAGCCTAAAGTGGACACAAGTTGAGTTAGCAGGGGGAAATGAAGTCAATGACGACCAAATTCGGTGCAGTCTGTCCGTCTCGTTTTCCAAGCTGGAGTCCGCGTGACCCTCCTTGTGCTTGGCTTGAGAAGTTACAGGATATAGCTGCAGTCGACACCAATGACGCGTCTGCTGTCGTCTCCTAGTCGAAATGCCTGTTTAAAGTGTGTTTGGTTCTGAGTGATCTGCCGAGTAATGGTGATTAAGAGGCAAAACAGTGAAAGCCGCAAGGAAGCTGTCTCGCCGATGCCGCCTTATATGTGCACGATAGGCGGCTGATTGTGATAGTATGTTGTTGACAAGGTGTAGGCACAGTGACCCCGAGTGTTTCCTTAAGGCATTAAGCTTTTCCGATAAATCCCTCTTCTCTCTTATTGTTCTTCGTTCCGCGGGTCATCGCGGTTTTACGGTAACGAAACATCAGTCCAAGTAGCTGAGGTACTGCTGTTGATGATTATGATGATGACGATGAAGTAAAGCAGAAAACATAGATGGTATAGTTAGGACCGATAACATTAGACATTTTCAATGTGATGAATTGCTGATAATATCAATCAAATCCTCCTATTACTCCCTTGTAATCAGTACGCAGACCAAACTGTTTATAATGCCGTAAGCTAACTGGCGAGATAAGTTCGCCGTTTGGTGAGGGGCCAACCTGTCCTCTGCAAGGTAGTGATGTGTAAATCGGTGGACAGTGAGCGGAGCTATATCACATCTAGCAACAATCATCATGGTCGTTGCCGTCCCCCGTAGCTCAGTGGTCTCAAGCACAGATTGGTTACAACTGACGTAAGATTTCAATCCCCACGAATGTTAGGTGGATTGTGCACTGTTGACGATTCACGAAAATATGAAAAAGCCGTACAGTGTTTTTGGGCTTGTGATGGCTGTCTGACTGAGTTTAGATGTGATGAACGTCTACTTATGTCATTCAACTACTTGGTAAATATAATTCTATCCAAAGAAATGGAGATAAGATGTGTTACGAACAACCACTTATCTTAAGAATGGATCTCATTCAGTGGCGCTGAAATCGGCTTTAGATCGTGTCCGGTAGGTTAGTTTAATGGTTGAGGGCTGATTCGGTTGCAGTCTCAAGCCACAATTCAACAAACGTGAGCTTTCAGAGAAGTGATACAGATAGTTCGCTTGGAGAATTTGTGATGAGCTCAATGCAGGCATCACTGGTTCCACAATTATCCTTTCAGGTTCCTCGCCCCAACTTGCCATCGTTGCTCATGCTGCTTGTGAACGGTGAACACCCTAATCATACTTGATCGGAAATCGCCCTTCAGATTCTAATCCATTGGATCATTTAGTCAATTACGCATCTATGACGACCCCTTATCCACAATGACATCCGACATACAGATGATAAGTTGCATTGGCAGAGGAGCTCATTCATAATATATCCGCCGGATCGAAAGCGTTTTGGTCTGCTAGTCTTTTGTCAATTACTAACAGCAAACAGTGGAAGATCAACCATAACGCGAAGACCGTCAAAAATGACGCTTGAAAACCTCCATCCCTATCTTTGCGTTGAAAACAATTTTTGGAACGTGGCAGTTCTGAAATACTCGCAAAGCTCCCACGAAGCGATTCCTTTTGTATGTATACATGTAGGTATTCGAAGCAGTTGCCCCATGATGAGGCTGATGTTGTATTCATGACGCTTCACCGCAGTTGGGCTAAACCAACTTACATAAGGTCTTTTTAAGCTGGATAAATTTCATTCCACTTTATTTGCTTTGTTCTGCCTACCTGAATAATTTCTATTAACTGGCCACGTTGCTTACGCTAATTGCGCTTATCTTCGGTAACTTTGTTGCGTTTGTAGCATTTTTAAGTAACTTGTGGACATTTTTACTTATCGCGGATTCGTTGCTAACCAACTTATTTCGGATGCTAATTTAGCGAATAGTTATGTCAGCATAGCCGTACGCTTTAACAGATATATTTTATTTGATAATGTTATTTCAAGTGATTGATTGTTGTTTGACATCCCCGGTGTGGCTGCGCTTGATGTGCATGTTGACAAGGTGCCTACCTGTCTATTACCCACTACCTCGTCCATACTAGCTCCAGCTGACAATTCATGGTTCCTGGAGAGGACGGGGTGCACGGTCCTTGTGGTCGTGCTAGGCTCGAAGAGTGGTTCCATGCACTCAGTGTGGAGCAGACTACGGTCCAGCCACCGCCCAGTGTGTGTTTGATTCCCAAATACAGCATGATTGTGTTTGCCTGTGAAGGAGTGTGGGCCGGCTCCGTTGATGAAACGTGTCTCCCATCCACAAGCCTCCCGGTCTTATTCCTTCGG